AGCCGCAGTTTGCCTGCCACGGGCCTAGATGAAGAACTAAAATGTAAAAGATCTGATGGTGCCCTGGCCAGTGTGGGTCGGTGGTTAGAACACCAGCCTGCAAACTGAAAGGTGTGGTTTGATCCCCAACACTGGTCAGGGTGCGTGTTGGAGGCAACCAATTGATGTGTCTCTCTCACATTGATGTTTCTCTCTCTCTCCACTCACCCCTGCAACGCAAAAAGAAATCCTCGGGTAAGGATTAACAACAAAAGAAACAGGTTCGATCAATTAGATATGACAGATGAGGGAAACAGAAGAAAATAAAAATCTAGATATTTAAGCAATTAAGTAGACAGACTGAGACAGGAGAGAGCAACAGGTTTTGGGGAGTAAGAATTTTAAGGGCTTATACTTTATCCCTCACTTCCTGAAGAAATAACTTGCTTAGATTAACTGTATTTTAAATCTCATTTAGATTAACTGTATTTTAAAACATGTCTTTGGAATCAAACCACCAACTTATTTGTATTATAGTTTAGATCTTTTTGAGTTTTCTTAAATCAGTTATATATCTGTATGCTAAGTGGGTGAAGTGTATAATTTTATTTATAACAATATAAAAATAATGTACACTCTAGCCTTTGATGAAAAGTAAAGTACTTACATATCTCTCCACCCCCCCACACCCCAAAAAAAAATTCTAAGGAGGATAAAAGCTCTTTTTTTCTCCACCTAAAATACCTTTGAAGGTTCTAAAAGTGGGCAGAGATGTTTTGAATTCCAACTGTATTGAGAAGTATCTAAAGACAACTTCAGCAGGCAAGAAAGGACACAAAGAGGTACTTTTTTTACACTCCTATTTTCTTACAAGTTCCTCTTCCAATATCTTTTCATATCTATCCATTTCTCTCCAGCTCTTGGCACTACTCAAATCCAAACCAACCTCGCCCCAAGAACTTCCCTATCTTGCTACCAATAGCTTTTTAATTGGTCTATTTTCACCCCTGTCCCTCCAATCCATTTTCCCATTGCAACCAAACAACTCTTTAAAATAGAAATCTAAAATAAAATAAAAAAACCTATTCCTATTACTATCCTACAAAAAACATTTCAACGTCTTCCTATGGTTTTTAAGGTAAAAATCACAAAATCCAAATTATAGGTTCTAAGAAAGACTGTATCATCGAGCCTCTATGTACTTCTCCAATATCATCTACTCTCCATTTTTCACTCATTAGATCTCAGTACATTGTCCTCTGTCAGGTCCTCAGTCATTTATATCATCTTCCCTTGTTACAACTTTCTCCAAGCACTTTCTACTCCTTTTTAAAAAAATATATATTTTATTGATTTTTTACAGAGAGGAAGGGAGAGGGATAGAGAGTTAGAAACATCGATCAGCTGCCTCCTGCACACTCCCCATGGGGATGTGCCCGCAACCAAGGTACATGCCCTTGACTGGAATCGAACCTGGGACCTTTCAGTCCGCAGGCCGACGCTCTATCCACTGAGCCAAACCAGACAGGGCTCTGCTCCTTTTTTAGAGAACTAATTATGAGTAATTACATGGGTAGTCACAAAATACATATATTATGTGTCTTCATCTAGACTTTAGCTCCACTAGGCAGCACAGCATAGTGGCTGGCTTGATCATCCTGCCTGGGTTTGACTCCTGGCCCACAACTTAAGAGCAGTTCAGACTTAAACAAGTTAACCTCCAATCCTCATTTTCTTCATAGACAAGGAAGAGATAATAAATATCCCGACCTCATAAAACTACTGTGAAACATAAAGGAGATAATAAATGCAAAAAACTTGGTAAAGAATATGACACATGACAGGTATTTGTTAACTCTTTCTTGAATAAAGCCCGTATGATTGATGAATAGCTCTATGGATATACCAGTGAAAAAACTGTCCCTGGTAAAATTTCTGCCTCCCCAAAGCCAATAAAATTATTTAAGTAAATATAAATATGATACCTTTCCTAACCCCCAGGAGCTGGAAGGCATTTTAGAGATCATTTAATTCAACTTCTTTTCCTTACAAATGGAAGGATAGGAGCAGAGAAATGAGCCTGGTCAAGATTACACAATTCGTAGAGGCAGACCTAGAATCCAACTCCACGAACTCTTAGTCCAATAGCCTATTTACTGACACGTATTTTTAAACTGCAAGTAACCAATTAGTGGTATAAACTAATTTAAATTTTAAAAGATAAAGTAAAATGTAAATTGAGTACATCGCAAGTAGTAAGTGTAAGTAATATTTTGAGAAATTTTGTTATATGGATGTATATTTGAGTGTGGGTATGTCTTTACAAGGGAACATATATATATATATCTGTTTTAAGGATATTATATATAATCTATATATCTACAGTCCCCTTAGAATAGATATATAAATAACTATAATCCAACATAGCAAATAATATAGCACAATAAAGAGATAGGAACATTAAAAAGAAAACAAACATGCATTCTGAGATCACGACCTAAGAAAACTCCGGATAAAGGCTTTAACAATAGGTGAGAAATATTACCTGTTAGGAGATGTGGAGGTAGGGCTTGAATTTCCAACATGATGCTGGGAATATGACAAACTAACATCCTGTGAGGCATGGCTACTTCCTAAAATAAAATAATTTGAGAAATTCTTCTTGATAGAAAATTTAGTTGGAATTTTTGTCTCTCCCACCCCAAACCACTCCAAAAAGGTAGACATAAGCTAAAAGCCTCAAATTTTAACAGACTGCTTTAGAGTTTCATCAGAGTGAAAATTCTAAATGTTCATTAGCAGACATATCCAAAACAAACGGTCCCAAATGAGGGAATATCTGGCGTATAAATATCCACTCTGGATATTCTCTATCATAATATTCTGATCCTCACACTAAACTGTAAGACTGGACACATGCAAAGTTTCATTCCCACACGATCAAGAATCAAAATTTATAAAAGTAAATTACAAAGCAACCAGGAGAAGTATTTTCACCTGGCGGGTGTGCTCCGTGGTTTGAGCGTCGCCCATGCGGCAATGGGTCAAGGACGTGGACCCGGGTTCGATTCCTGAGCCGCTACTGGGGCTTGGTAGAGAGGCAACCAATGGATGTGTCTCTCACATGGCTGTTTTTCTCCCCCCCACCTTCCTTCCTTCCACTCTCTCTCTGAAAAGCATTTCAGAAAATAATTCTTGTTTCTTTCAGAGCATGGACCCAAGACCCAAGTCTTTCTAACAATAAAGTTTATGTTCTGTTAACGAACCCAAGCTGAAATTTTAAACTAAGTTCTTAAATTACAACTTTTAAAATCCATGTTGTCAGTGTTACCCACAAAGCTTAAAGTATTTTCATCCATAAACGTTTTTTAAAACTGAATAAAATTAAAAACAAAAAGCCAAAGCAGCAAATAATCCCTCTCCCCAAACAACACCGATTTAAATATCTTCGTGCTGCAACTGAATAGTGAGTTACCTGATCTAAACTGAATTTTGATGGGCCTTCCAAAAAGTTTTATTCCATTAAGTAGATTCATTGCATAAGGAACAGACACTTCATGTTTGAAATTCACAAATGCAAACTGCTTGGGTTTACCATCCTTATCTTTTGGAATTTTCACTTTTATTACTGGCCCCGCCTATAGACAAAAAAAGAGTTTACAACTTAAATAACGCAATTTCCAGGAGAACAGTTAAATGTTACAAGATTAAAAACAAAAGAAATGCAACCAGGAACTCTTAACAAACAGATACCCACAGATCTCCGTCTCGACTGGACTAAAGCTCCTACAGATACATTACGAAGATTAATTTATTTGGGGTGGGGAGCCCTTGAGGAACTAGCGACAGAATCACTGAATTTACATTTCTCAGCACTTTTCCACTGTAAGGAGGTGACCAACAACCAGCGGCGTCCCCTCTGCGGAAATCGGTGTTTATCTGTGGAAATCAGTGTTTACCACGGCAGTTTCTTTGGACGGAAGTTCAGCTTCATCAAACTTACAGCGGCCGGAGGGAACAGGATCCTGCACATTTTTAACACTTTTTAATACAGAAACACCACAATGCTACTTTCCCAGGGAGCACTTATGCCTCTATTTTAAATATCTTAATGCCGCAATTTTATAAGAAACCGAGTGGAAAAGACAGACTGACAAGAAAACTGAAGTGTAATTTGCCAGACCAACCAAAGACCGTGTCTTAGGGGGAAGACGAGAAAAGGGCGAACAGGAAAAACACTGTTCTCTATAAATGTCTAATCACGGTGCTGTACACCTCCAACTAATATAGTATTGTTTGTCAACTGTGATTTAAAAAAACAACAACACTGCTCCAGAGAGAACCCATGTGTATTATCACCTCCCTGAGACCCCCGAGCGTTGGCCCCGGAAACGCGTTACTGAGGGTCCTTCCACCACCTTCAGGCCTCACTCCCGCGAGAACTAACGAGGGTTCGCTCAGTGAGGGACGCCCGCCGACGCCGCAGGCGGCCCAGGCCCTCCCGGCCCACCGGTAGGGTGCTCGGCCCGACAGCCCAGCTGGCGCGAAAGCGGGGAGCCGCGGGGGCCGGCCCTACGCCAGCGGAAAACGGAAGAAGGCCGGTCCCGGCCGCTTACCTGGTGGAAAAGCTCGAAAAGGAGCTCCTCGGTCACTTTAGTTTCTAGGTTGCCCACAAAGAGAGTGCAGTCCGCCTCCGCCGCCCCCATCTCGGCGTCGCCCCCTCCCGTGCGAGGCCGAGGGGTCGTCGCCGACGCTCCCACTGCGCACTCTCCAAAGCCCAGGTCCTCGGCAACCAGGCGTCGCCCACGTAAACGTCATCACGCTCCTCCCGCCTGCGTCAATGTGCGCTGACGGAGTGCGCACGCTCGCGAGGGGAGCGCTCATTGGAGGCCGCGGCTCCCGGGATGGCTCGCGGAGCGGGCAGTCTCCGCTCCCGACACGGGCTGGACTGACCCGCGGAGCGCGGCGGCCTCCCTGGACAGACCGAGGGGCGTGAGGCGGACACCGCGGCCGCTTTGAAGATGGCCCTGAACGACGTGTCCCTGTGCGCCGGCGACCGACGGAACACGGTGGCCTGGCGCGCTCCCCGCGGCGGCCTAGGTCCGCCGGCGTCAGCGCTGGCAACGGTCTCTGGAGACAGCGCCCTCGTGGCCAGGCCCGGGGCGACCCACCCGGGACCTCCCCTTCGGCATGCGACCCAGTCGGGCGCCCGGGCCGAGAGACGTCGGGCGACTGGCAGCGGCTGGGGCCCGCCGCGCTCCGTGAAGGGAAGGGACCCGGACGGGCGGCGCCGGGGCCGCGCGGCGAGGTTCTCCCCGTACCCGGCCCCCGGCGCGGGACTGGGCCTGCTGCGGGGCGCGCGCGCGGCGCTGCGACTGTGACCCTGCACCTGTGACTGACCCTGCGGCTGTGACCGCGGCCCGCGTTTCGCCTTAAAACGCATACCGCCCGCCCTCAGTTAGCATGTGAACAGGCCTCTTAAAATGCTTTCTCGGTGCCACCGTAATCTTATTTCCAAGGGGAACATAAAAACACGTGCGAGTCTTCTTACTGTCGCCTCGCACAAGGAAGATATTATTGCTGAATTCAGGCGGTTTACGCCGCGAAAATGATTAGTTCGAAGAGGAGGTAGAAGATTGTTTTCTTAGTCCTAAAACTGAGCTAATGGGAACAGCCTTCCCAAGGTCAGCAGCCCTTGGGTTCACCCCCTGTGCACGCCATCGCCATCGCCATCGCCATCGCCCCAATGGCCCCACACCTCTCTCCACGGTCTTAACTCTCTTCCCTGGCAGAGAACCCTCCTGTGAGGCTTGGAATCGAGCTTCCCTGCCGGCCGCCTTTCCTCACGATTCCCTCCGCCTTTACTTCTGTGGGCGAAAAGGAAATGCGTCAGTTTATTACTCTGCTTATCTTCGCCCCGCCCTCCCGCCCTCGTGGCCCAATAATCCTGTTATCTTGCCCTTGGCTTTTACCCTCTCCCATCTCCCTTCATTATCTTTTTTTTTTAAAGTTGTTTTTTTTTTTAAATATATTTTATTGATTTTTTACAGAGAGGAAGGGAGAGGGATAGAGAGTCAGAAACGTTAATGAAAGAGAAACATCGACCAGCTGCCTCCTGCACACCTCCTTCATTATCTTAAGGAATATTTACAAACTTGCATCTCAACCATGCTAAAAAGCAAGCCCTTAAACCTCGAAACTCTCAAAGTATTAAATCCGTTTATATTTCTTTGCCAAAAGCTCCACATGAATTTTTTGCACTTATATTTGTCATTTTAACATACGTATCCAATCCCAGTTTCCTTGGTCAAAACCCGTTGTCCCGAAATTACTGACATTGGTCTCACAGCCTCTGTTAGGAAGCTGTTCACCTACTTAGCATCTTCCTTGGGCTTTCTTATTTGCCCTTGCTCATTGAGCCATCCCACAGCATATGAAGATCTCTTTGATAAGCATGTGGTGGACTTGACCCAGTCCTGCCATGGAGAATCTTACTCTAGACCAGTGGTTCTCAACCTTGGCTGCACATTAGAATCACCAGGGAATCTTTTTAAAATCCTGCTTTCTGGGCCTCATCCCCTGGAAATTCTGTTTGTTATTAATGTGGCCCCACCCCATAACAAAGATACAGAATTTCCGGATGATGAGGCCCAGAAATCAGGATTTTGAATCCCAGGTGATTCTAATGTGCAGCCAAGGTTGAGAACCACTGCTCTAGATGGAGAGCCTAATGAACCAATAGGTAGTGTGCACTCTAGGCTGTTGAGTAGGTTCCCTAACATTACGCTATGGTGTTCTCTTACTGGGCTGGTTACTCTTTATTGGCTAATGGTTTTGTTTCCTAACCATACGTTTCTCAAGGTTTAAAGGATGGTAATGGGAGAGAGTGGGTTTTATAAGAGCCAACTCTTTATGCAAGCAAGTAGACTGGCTTTTTCCCAGTGGACTCTTCAAACAGCTAAATTACCACACACCACACAGAACTGAATTGTCAGAACTACATCTTAAGGGAAATGTTGATAAACCAGGGAGCTTCCATAAGGGGGTGATTAATATAGTAAGGTCAGACAACCAGGTCTAGAAAAAATGAGAGAATAGTAATAGCTGCCTTTTATTGAGTACTATGTGCAAGGCAGTGTGCTAAGGGCTTTTATTCAGTGTTTATTGGGATGTTCATTGAGAACTTAATGCTGTGCCTGTTACTACCTGTGCTAGGCACTTAGAATAAAGTTATGAACAAGATAGATAAGGTCTCTGCCTTTATGGAGCTTTATATATGTCATTTAATTCTTACAACAGCGCATAAGAGAGGTATTATACTTTTTTTCCTTTTTGCTGAGAAACAGGCACAAAGAGATGAAGTAAACTTTCCAAGGTTATACAGCTAGTAAATGATAGAACCTTAAGCCTTTCAATCTGTTTCTCATTTGACCCATGCAACCCAAACATGATTTGAGTAACTATTTTCTAAATTCTCCCAAGGATAGTATATAACATACTCTTCTAGATATCTAAAAAGATGTTAATTTATATTATATGATAAATACCTTAAGCTGGGCATTATGATAACCCATGGTTGACAAAGGAATCCCAAAACTATAAGTGGAAGATTTTAGACTGGGAAAGGATAATAAAATTAAGGCTAAAGATAAAAGATTTTCATAAAACTTAGAGATAACTTAGGAAAATACCACATCATAAGGTAATGAATTAACTGTCCAAAGTTCAGACAAAGGCTAAATCCAGTCAAGTGTAAATAGGAGTAGCTGACTTCAGTTCTTTCCCATTTAACCTATAATTCTATACTCTAAAAAATGAATAATTAAAATTAGAAATGGAGAATTAGGGGGAAAGATAAAAATGAGTTATAATATGTAGGATGACCATATTTAGTGTGCAAACTAGGACCTTTGAGAGTGGAAGTGCTATCACTTGAGCTGGGGCAACAGGCATATCAGGATTACCCTAGATATATTCGGTGGGTGATAAAACCCAAGGAGAAGATACAGCATTAGATATGCCTTTGAAGCATATTCTTCAGCTTCAGGGAAAGGGGGCTGAGATTTGTGAATGAAGGAACAAAGTCTGGCAAAAAAGTGCATGGGGAAGGGTGGACCCAGCGGGAGTGACTTCATTTCTATCCTGGCATCAAGAGTAGAGCTTTGATTGAATGATAGTGTACATGTGCAAGGAAAAAAAAAGGGTGTGAGAAAAGAAAATTAATGTGGCTCAATTGGTAGGAGAGTCATCCTGTACACCGAAGGGTCTTGGGTTCCATTCCTGGTCAGAACGCAGTTTCAGTTTGATCCCCAGTCCTGGTTGGGGCAAGTGTAGGAGGCAAGCCATCACTGTTTCTTTTTCTCCTTGTTCTTTTTTTGTTAATCCTCACCCAAGGATATTTTTTTTCCGTTGATTTTTTTTTTTTTTTTTTTTTAGGGAAAGTGGAAGAGAGAAGGAAAGACAGAGAAACATCAATGTGAGAGAAACACATCTATTGGTTGCCTCCCGCATAAGCCCCAACCAGACACCGGGCTGGGGAGGTGCCTGCAACCAAGGTAAGTGCCCTTGACTGGAATCAAACCTGGGACCCTTTGTTCCACAGGCCAACAAACTCTAGGGCTGTTCTTTTCTTTTTTTAAAATAATAGTTTATTGATTTTTAAAGTTTATTTTCAGAGAGAAAGGAAGGGAGAAGAAAGAAACATCCATGTGAGAGCATAACATTCATCTGCTGCCTCCTGCACACCTCATACTGGGGATTGAGCCTGCAACCCAGGCACTGGGTCTTGATCAGAATCAAACCAGCACCCTTTTGTTGCATGGGACAACGCCCAATCAACTGAGCCACACCAGCCAGGGCTCTCCATGTTCTTAACATCTACACTAGTGTCTAAGTTAGAATGTATTTCTAGATTCACAAAGAATGTATTGTGGAAGCAAGAACCAACATAAACCTCTTTCAATGAAATTACATGAAGCAGGAACAAGTTTCCCAAGAGCAGTATTTGTTATTAAGAATTTGTATACAAAGTGAATTCTTATTTAATGTCAGTGATTAAATATAACATAATGTCATTCTAAAATAGATGAATTTTCTAAGATTAATGCAAAAATAGTCCAAAAAATTAATTCTCCTGTAAGTTTTTTAAAACCATTGTAATTTCCTGTTTGTTTTTATTGCCCCTTAAGTGTTAGACCATACTAAGCAACTGACCAGCGCGTGTTGAAGTGGAGTCCTATTAGAATATTACTTCCTGTACTCATCAGCACTAAAACTCTTAAAAAGAATGCCCATTGAGGGTAGAGAAAAAAAGGAGGCCAATGAAACTGTTTACCTAGGGAGGGAGGAAGGGAAGGAAGAAAGGGAAAAGAGAGAGAGAAACTGTTTACCTCAGTAGCCAGATTTAATGATAAGTCTAATTCTAAGAGGGGTAACTTGGAAGGAAAGAAGGAAAGGAGGGAGAAAAGTCCTAGAGGGGAGAGGGGAGTACGTAGACTTCTCATGGTCAAAGTTCAACTGCCTGGTGAGCAAAATTAATTATGTCTGTCATTCCTTTGGGGAATCCATATCCCACTCAGATGCAGATTTTATCTTACCATTTTCCATGAAAAGCACTCTGATTTTCCCAGTGGACCAAATGTATAAGCTTGAATACTTATGACTCCATACCACCTATTATTACCTGTGTTCATTGCCTACATCCATTCAACTACAAAGTCCTGCCCATTTTATCTTTACAATGTATTTATCCTATATAATAAAGTCTAATATGCAAAAAGACCAAACCGTGGAATGACCGGTTGCTATGACGCACACTGACCACCAGGGGGAAGACGCTCAACGCAGGAGCTGCCCCACCCTGCAGGCCCGGGCCAGCCAAGGCGGGTGCCTGCAGGGGCCCCCACGATCGCCCCGCTGGTCACCCCGCAGATCAGCCCTGATTGCCGACCAGGCCTAGTGACCCTACCCATGTGCAAATTTCGTGCACCGGGCCTCTAGTATTTCTATAATCGCATCACCTGTACTGTATTTACCTGGACATTTAGCCTATTTTGTTTGCCTCTGTCTCTCTACATCCTAAATGTATATAGCGTCCAAACTAATGAGCCTTTTAAGGCATGTTTCTGATCACATAATTTCTACTCCAGTGTTTCCTATAGTCCAAAGAACCTCCACTAGAAATGCAAGATACTCCTTTGAAAAAAAGAAGTCAATAAATTTGAAAGTGATGTATGTTTCATCATCACCTTAGGGAGACATAATTTATAATAATGTTAAAAGTTTTGATAATACTTTTACAAAAGGAAACCCTTCATTTGTATTCTAAGTTCATTTTAAGCGGTGTTTCTCAAATTTATTTGTCCATAAATTAAATTTTTTT